ATGGCTTGAAACAAGCACCTAAGCAATGGCATGAGAAATTTAATACAACTCTGACATCTGTCGGCTTTGTTATTAATGAAGCTGACAAATATGTATGCTATCGCCATGGTGGTGGTGAAGGAATTATATTGTGCTTGTATGTTGATGACATACTGATATTTAGATCCAACCTCAAAGTCATTTAGGAGGTCAAGTCGTTTCTATACCAGAACTTTGAGATGAAAGACCTTGGTGTGGCTGATATTATCTTGAACATCAAACTACTGAGAAATGATGAGGGTGGAATTAACACTTTTGCAATCCCATTATGTTGAGTCGTTTTGGATATTCGGACTGCAAACCATCTAAAACACCATATGATTCTACTATGTTGATTCGAAAGTTCAAAGTCACGGCTAATGACTAATTGAGATTCTCTCAAATCATTGGTTCACTCATGCACCTAGCGAGCGCAATGAGGCCTGACGTCGCATTTGCTGTGAGCAAACTGAGCCAGTTTGTTTCCAAACCAGATGATGTACATTGGTATGCTATTGAAAGAGTTATACGCTATCTAAAAGGTGCTATGAACTATGGACTTCACTATACTGGATACCCGTCAGTACTTGAAGGGTATAGTGATGCGAATTGGATATTTGATGCTGTTGAGATGAAGGACACAAGTGGGTATATGCTTACTCTTGGAGGTGGTGTTGTTTCCTGGATGTCTTGCAAGCAAACGATCTTAACGAGATCGACAATGGAAGTAGAACAACATTAGACACGTCTAGTGTTGAGGCATAATGACTTCAATATCTTTTGATGGACTTGCCATTGGTTGAGAAGCTGGTTCCGGCTATCCTTATGAACTGTGACAATTAGACTGTTATTGCCAAGGTGAAGACTTCAAAGGACAACATGAAGTTCAGCAAATACATAAGAATGAGATTAAAAGCTGGCAGAAAGTTAAGAAACTCCGGAGTAATAGCTTTGGATTATGTACAAATGGCTAAGAATCTGACAGATCCCTTTACTAAAGGGCTATCATGTGTTGTGATAGACAATGCATCGAGGGAGATGGGTATGAGACCCACATGAGTTGACATGGTGGTAAACCAACCTATGTGATCGGAGATCCCGTGATGTAGGACCTAAAAAGACGAGCCAGTGGTGAACTGAGGAGAGTAACTTTACTAACCCACTCCGTTGGAGATGCGATCCTCTCAATACTGTATGGTAGGATGACTATTGTCTTAATGTGTTCCAAACCTTATGTAAGCAAGATGCTATCCTACAGAGCGATCTTTGGAGTAACACACCTATATGAGCCCGACTGCTGGTCACAGTCTATGAGATTGGGTTAATTTCTAGCAAGCTCATGAATAGGCCAGGAGTGTGACTAATATGCTCCACCCGAGGGGTCAGCCTTTGGCTGTCTAGTACTAGTAAGACATGTGGTGAAACTTCTTTATGCTAAACTGAGAATTCAAGACATAGTCCATTGTTCAGTTGTGAAGGAGCATAGCTAATTGCTCTAGGTGGAGATCAACCTTAACAGGTTTCCACTGAAATACTGGTATATCAAAATAGTGTTTGGAACAAAGGACAATATAGGCCCTTGAGATCTGGTGGGGGATTGTTGAAATCTTACGGTGGGCCTAGGGCCCATCTAACAATTTCTGAAAATCTCTAAGGGCCCATGTGGGTAATATGGCAATAGGGGTGGTGGGAGGTTTAGTCCCACCTTGCTAGTTGAAGAGGAGTTGGACCTCCTTATAAGGGGTTCTCTTCCACGTGTTATTGGAACTTGAGAAGAGAAGAGGCCCTCGCACACTCCTCCTCCTCCACCGCCCGCCACGACGAGCTGAGCTTACATCTATGCGCTTATTTTTGCCGGTCAGGAACGAAGAGTCATTTACAGGTGGACCACGATCTAAGACATCAGATCATGGGTTGTTACCGACTCGGACGTGGGCTCAGCCCACGTCTCTCCACACGGTTGCGCATATATTTGTGGGGCGTCTGCCAATCCTAGCTGTCACATCTAGGCGTTCCATTGCTGCTGCTGCCACCGGCGGGTTCATCCCGTCTACCGCGTACACGGTTGAAGGGAGAGCAGGTCTCCGAACCCGCCTCTTCAGATCCTGTACGGGAGATGGGCTATTAGGTTTTTGGGAAGGGAAGTGTTTAGAAACGGCGCACCGGCCGAACCGTTCCGCCGGTTCACACGCCACGCTGGCAAACGCGCGCGCGCATCCCCGCCTCCTTCCTTACGTGCCTCCATCCCCTACCTTCAGCCTACGTGCGCGCACCTCCCCTCCCCCGAGCTGCGACTGGGCCTCCACGAACTCCATCGCCGGCGGCCAGGCGCTCCCTCGCTGGCCGTCATGGCTGCCTGCTGCGATGGCCAGATCCATCCCCAACCTACAGCCTTCAAGGGCGCGCATCCCCTCCCCTCCTCCTCCTCCCGAGCAGCGACTGGGCCACCACAAGCTCCATCGCCGGCGGCCAGGCCGCTCGCCGCCCGCCATAACTGCCTGCCCGCCATGCCCGGATCCACCCGCGTATAGAAGTGTTGCAACCGTCACCTAAAAAAGCTTCAACGGCCATTCAAAAAAGCTTCAACCATAGACATAGAAAGCTTCAATGGTACTGCACAACAAGGAGAAGCTGCAACCATAGTTGAATTTTGCTACTACCGGCGAAGCTTTTTGCTACATCCATCAGGCGGAGCTCGGACCTCGCAACGACGACAACGATGTTTTGCTGCAACCGTAGCAGGATTTTGCTACAACTAGCATCGTTTTTTGCTACAACCGGCATAATGTTTTGCTACATCCATCATGGCCGAGCTGCGACCCGCGACGACGACGACGGCTTTTTTGTTACAACTGTCATAGGTATTTGCTACGTCCCGCAACGGGCTTTGTTACATCCGTTTATTTTTTTAGAATGCAAATGTTCGCTACAACCCATTTTTTTTTGTTGCAACCATGTCTCCATTTTGCTACGACCAACAACGAAAAATGCTACAACGGCCAATTATATTTGCTGGAACCAGTCAATCGTCAGCGAGGCGGAGCTGCATCCATGGCGTGTGCAGGCGGGATCCATCCATGGTGAGCGCGGCCAGCGGAGCTGCATCCATGGCGAGCGCGGCCAGAGGAGCTACATCCATGGCGAGCGCGGATCTCCGACGAGCGCGGGCGGCGGAGCTGCATCCATGGCGACCGCTGTTCTTGGGCAAACGCAGAAGGCTGGCGAGGGCGCCCACCGGCGACGAGGGAACGCCGCGGTGGTGCTTCAAGCTCGGCCGTTTTCTCGCGCGGTATGGCGTGGTCTCGGCGGCGCTCGGGGGGAGGAGACAACGTTTCTGCGAGAGGAAGAAGGGAGCTGGGCGAATCGTTTTTTTACCTAGATCTGACGGTCTCCGCGATTTGATCTGACGGCCCGCGCGCGACCGGCCGGAACGTTGGGCCGGTGCGCCCTCGCAGATCACTGCCCTTTTGGGAAGCGACTACGGGACTGCTCGCCACTGATCCACTGCTTCAGCTACGTCTTCGTCATCACCATGTCTTAGTCAACCGAGCCGCTCGTCTTGCCACTGAGAAGCTCGCGGCCGAGAAGAAGGCTGTCGAGGACGCCGATGCAGCCACCGCCGCTCCCGCGGCCTCTGCCTGGCCGATCGGAGGCTATAACTCGCTTATCCCTCTCATGTTTATTCTGTGTTAGCCGTACTAACCTACTGTTTGTGTAGTATGTGCTTATTTAGATCGTAATCAGCAGGTCGTTAATTCTGTCAATACCATGTTCATGATTATTTCTAGGATTAAATTAATCTAAAAATTGCCTATTTACTCAAGAGCAGCGGCCACCAAAATACTTGTGTTTCTGTGTGTCCCTTGTGAGCTGCAAGAGGAAGAAGGAGCTGCTCCGATCAGCCCCAACAAGAACTACTTATCCGACATCGCTGCGCTATCAATTTAGCGAGCAGTTGATGTTAGCTTTAATCTTGATATTTTGTATCTCCATGTTTGTTTCAGTCTTGCATGTAGTCTAGCTTAGGACTGTTCCGGCAAAGTCATTGCTGCAGCGAGATGCCATCCGACCGTGTGATGCGGTGCGGTAGTGCCGTGTGACGCGGCAACGTCGTGTGAAGCGGCGAGCAGTGAGCAGGTGAAGCGTGACGAGCTGCATGGCCAAGTTGAGCCGGCTGATCTGGCTGAGTCATCATTAGTTTGTTAGCATGCATAAGTATTCAGTTGCATGGCCGAGTCGTGTGGCCGCTGGAGAGATTCCAGGAGTAAGATAGTCATGGGTAGTGCGTTAGTGCATGCATGGGTTAGTGGGAGTCTGTTGCCGAGAGTAGCGGCTGGTTAGTGCGTGCGTTTGTGTACTTAAACAGAGCATATTTGTTTAGCAGTCAAGAGAATAGATAGAAGAAAAGGGCTTGGCTGTGTGATACGGCAGCTCACCAAATATCGTCTTCTCCATTATCTCGTGTGTGTGTGTGGGTTGTGTGAAACAGCCGTGAGAGAAGAAGGGAGTTGGAGAGAGTCAGCTCCAACAGTTGACGGTGGAGGGCGCCGCCCTGCTTAAGGGGATTTAGATTCTCGATGAATTGGGACCATCCAAGAACAATGACGGGGGCCACTCCTGTGGTGTCGTGTTGGTTGGAGAATGGGGCGACCATCTAGAAGGAACAATGGGCAGAAATTTCGTTATGGGCAGATAAAAGAAGACCGGGATGAGTACGTGAGGAGGTTAAGAGAATCGTGAGGATGCATGGAACGTCAACGAGATTAGGTCGGTGAAAGACATGATCCCTCCAAGTTGATCGTCCGAGGTAAGAAGTTTGAATCGAAGTTAACAGGAGCAGGAAAGGTACACGTGCATACTTCCTCCTATAAATATAGCCCTACGCCCACGCCACGACCCCATCCCCATCCCCATCTCCCTCCCTTCCCATCATCTCCTTCCTCGCCGGGCGCCGGACGGCTGCCCCCGCAGGCTTCACGGCCATGAAGCTTCCTCGGGCTGTTGCGTGTCTTCTCCTCCTCGTCGTCGTCTTTGCTGGTATGCACGGATTACATACTACTTGCTGCCATGTCTTCCTTTTGGATGTTTGTTGCTAGCGTGCCGCCATGTCTTCCTTTTAGTACATCATATCTGTTGCTAGCGATCACTTCAAGTTCTATCTTGCCCGGTTCTTCATGTTCCTTCCAGCAGCATGCACGCAGGACGTACTGACATGATCGATCTATGTTGCAGCTGCTCGTGTGGAGGCCCGAGTCACACCTTCCTCACGGCGGCCCAAGAACCAATGGTCAAGCATGTTTGTCTTCGGGGACGACTTTGTCGACAACGGCAATGTTCCGAACAACATTGGTGAAAAGACATCACGTCAATGGAGCTACCCATACGGCTCCTATCTCAACACTCATTATGCTACGTCTCCTGTTTTGGCCGGGCGCTTCTCCAACTACAGGATGCAATCAGATTTTATCGGTACGATGTACTCATATGTTATTCAAGTATATACATCAAGGTGCATGCATCCAAAATAATCGTTTCTATCTACTGCCTTGTCCTTGCAGCAAGGATGTTGGGCCTCAATGAAGCCCCTCCAGCGTACGAGCTCACATCAGATCAATCTTGTGACTCATCTGGCATGACCTTTGCTTTTGGGGGCGCTGGTGTCTTCAAGGTGAAGACCAAGAAGGTGCCGACCCTTGCCGCACAGGTTCAAACTTTCAAGAGGCTTGTCAACGACGGGGTCATCTCAACACATCAGCTTCACCACTCCGTCGCGCTCATCGCCATCTCCGGCAATGACTACATGAGCGACTCCGACATTGAGACCGGCTTCTACACAAGCTTCGATGATGTAAGTAGTACCTAGCATACTCGCACATACAAATTAAAGTCAATTAATTATACTGATCTCCACCTTACTAATTTACTTCTCCTGCATGCAGCTCGATACTTACATCGGAAACGTGGCGACTGAGATCCTAGATAATGTGGCGCAACTGCAGATGCTTGGTGTGAGAAAGGTGCTAGTAAACAATTTGCATCCCATTGGTTGCACACCTTTGCACACTAGTTCGAACAACTACACCACATGCGACCTTCTCGGCAATTATGGCGCGTCCGTGCACAACAAGTATCTAAAGCAAATGATCGATGTAAGGGACAACGTTCACATTCTGGACCTCTACACCGCTTTCACTGACATCGTCAATCACGCCCCTGGTAACTACACATATATGCGCATTGATGTTGTAAGCCAAATCGTGTTCCTTATGTATGGATTCGATTATGTAACCATGCATATATATTTTGTGCATGCAGATGGAGGATCGGATCAGTCCAAGGATTTCGATGGCAAGCTGACCCCATGCTGCGAGAGTACCGGTGAGGGAGGGTTCTGTGGAGAGCGTAGCCATTCAGGGAAGCGCCTCTACGACCTATGCGAAAATCCCGACAAGACGTTCTACTGGGACCAGACACACCCTACACATGCTGGGTGGGAGGCTGTAATGAAGGCGCTGCAACAGCCTTTGACGGAGTTTCTTGATGAGGACTACATTGCATAATGCATCAGCATGATGGCTAGCTAGTTGGCGCGATATCTTTTAGGTTAGCTTTTATAAATAGCATGCGAGTTTAGTAAGAAGGTTGTGAGTTTTTTCTACTTGTGTTTTGATGGAGTTTTAGTATTATAGATTAAACATGAACGGGTGCTAATTTGCTTGTTGTTTTAACCCTATTTGTTGAGATTAAAAATTCGGTCGTTTATTTGAGTGAGATATAGCGTGCGTGCTTATGATTACTCTAATCAGTACGCTTGCATATGATGCATCATGCTAGAACCGCGCGTGGTCCCAGAAATTATATAGTTCTATGTCTCAAAGACTGCAGATGGTGCACGCAAGGGAGATCGGCAGCGACCGCAACACCCTTACGCTACTCTCCTCCAACGACCCGTGCGGTAGGTCACTGATGGCCGTCCCAATCACAATGGAATGCAGTGCCACTTGTTCGTGTGTTTGCTTGGGGCCTGATTTCATAGTGCACTCGCCGAGATGATTGTATCATATTTTCTTATATCTGAATTTTATTTGGTCTGACAATTTTTATGTCCAACTGTGGAATGAATAGCATAACACAGGACGCAACGAAAGGCAACTGTGTAGAGGAGCGGGAGGACAAGGCAAGGAGGGAGAAGTCCCAAAAGCGATCCAACTTCAATCTCTATCTTATACAGGAGGAAGAGAAAAGTGGGGAGACTAGGTTACAAGTCCACACATAAATTTTGAGAAGGATCACGTTGTAATGCTTTCACAGTTTGGATAAAATTGAACTGAAAGCTAAGGTTAAGGAGTGCAGATAATATGTTTAGTATCTTAAGTTGTAGCTTGCGAGACAAACTTAAGGATGAAAGAGTGAAAAATAATCATAAAACTGAAAAAAATGAAGATAACTTGGTTAGTGTTTCACACTGACACTGAAAGAATAAAGATAATTAGGTTAGTACCTTGAGCAGAATTAGAGAAGACCGAGCATGGATTTAGAACACTCAAAACAAAATTAACTGATGAATGGACTCACAATATGAGTGGATGTAGTCTTTGGAAAAGCAAAGAGAACAACAAAAACAAAGACAACAGCAGTAAAATCGTCCGACCACACATGCACTTAGATGGTAGCATGGATACCTAGACACTGATAAACTGAAACTAACTACATAAAAAGCAAACAAAAAAAACTAGCAGAGAATGTAAATAAGATAAAAAGAAAATAAATTCACAAAACTTACCAACTTATTCCGCTCAATGCGGATTTTAGTTAGGTGGTGAACAAAAGGGGGGCTGGTCTCTTTTTCCCATTGGACCTTTGTGGACATCGCCCTTACCTCTGGAGACCAAGATCTTTGTGTGGCAGCTTCTGCGGGATCATCTTCCATCTGGGATGGAGGTCATCAAGTGGAATGTGCCTGGGGATGGTTTATGCCTCTTTTGTGGTGTCCCGGGGACTAGGACACATAACTTTCTCAATTTCCATGCTGCCCATTTTCTTTGAGGTGGTGGGGCTTAATTTGGAGGCCTTAGCCTGGCTGGGTTTCTCAACTCGGGCCAACTATACCGGGAGGAAGAGAGACGCCTCTTCTAGTTAGTATTCGCAGCAATGAACTGACCATTTGGACGATGCACAATAAGATGGTTATTGAGCTGGTTTTCTTACAGCAGGCCACTGATGTTGTATTCAAATTTCTGGCCTTTTCCAGCAAGGACAATCGCTCTCTAGGACGTGTGATCAGGACCGGCTTGGCAGCATGATGGACGCGAGCATTGCGCTGTCTTGCCCTACCACATAGCCACTCTACCAGCTGCTTGGTGCCATTTTCTACTTATTTGTTTCATGGCATGTCTGTGTTGTTGCCCCAAATAACTTACTTTTACTTTTCTATCAATTGAACTTGTTGTATGGACATGCTGAGCGCTTTATATGAAGCGGAGACAAGGCTTGTTTTGATATATACTTTTCCCGGTCTAGTAGACAAACCATGCACGGTTGGACTGGTATGTGCTAAGACCTAGTCCTTTTGTGTAAACAACTAAGGCACCAGCCTCGTGTACTAGATTAACATTTGCACTGTGTGTAACCGGAAGGACTGCCAAGAGAAAACTAGGAAAAAGCTATATCACGCATGGTTTTAGAAAGAAGAAAATAAACACACTCTTGACAAGAACACATTCATGAGAAATACCCACATACCACAAGCGACGCGACATTTGGCAACACCTTGTTGAGTTATCTTGACAATCAGAACTGGACTAGAGGCACCCACCTTGTAAGGTTATCTAAATAAATGAAAAAACCCAAACACTTGTAGATAGCTACAAAAATAAACTAACTGAAAGATCATGACTAAACTATCTAGACCGAATTTTCACTGGCTTAACACTAATACTGGCAAATTATCACGATGTTATCTAGGAAATATGAACAATCCTAGATTACGGCAGAACATCAAAAAATGAACACCGAAAATATTAAATAGGTACCCAAAGACCATAATTCCACCAACATTTTGGTATATATCAGGCAGACCGAAGAATAGCTTATACAAAAAATAAAGCCTCTACTGTAGTAGTCTAACCGGAACATAGATACGAATAGGCATAGCAAACAATACACTGAATAAAGGGCAATGATATGAGTGAAATAATAACAATGAGGAAAAGCTACCACAATATTGATGGATGGGAGAATGAAATAAGAATGAAACATGACAACTGCAGGATACATAATGAAGACATTTTTTGCGAGAACAACTTCCGATCTATTCATCATCTGTCAAGGCAGTACAAAGAACACTAGAACTAAAAATTACATCCAGGTCTGTAGACCACCTACCAACGACTACAAGCACAAGAGCGAGTCGAAGGCGCGCTGCCGTAATCGCATCTTCCTCACTGGAGCTGGGCAAACCTTGTTGTAGTAGACATCCGGGAAGTCGTCGTGCTAAGGCCAATAGGACCAACGCACCAGAACAGCGACCTCCTTCGATGAAAAGAAGCGTAAACCAAAAGGTTCCAAACTGAAGACACACGAGCACAGACGAACTAAGACTGGATCCAAGTGGATCCATGAAACACAACTGCCGATCGAATCACATGAGATCCATCTGAGACACATCTCCACACACCCTCCGAAGACGCTAGACGCACCTCCAGAATGAACGCTAGGCAGGGACAACCATATTCCAACTTCAGAGAGCCGCTGCCGATTCATTTTCCTAAACAGGACACGAACCCTAAATGAACACAAAAGAACACCTAAAAGCAATGTAGGTGCTCTCCCGTCGACAAGTACCGGGATCCACCACGCCTCCATGGCCCTAAGGCCAGAGAAGACGATGTCGATCCGTGGCAGCGCCGACGGGAGGCAAAAAATGTCTAATCGCCTTGCGGGAGAGAGAATGACGACATATAAATGAAGAATTATAATGCACAAAATAGTGAGAAGGCAAGTTTATAGACTGAGTAACAAAAGTAATGAACGATGAAAGAGAGCCAAATGGCTGAAAATTAATAAAAATAAATAAATGAAAATAATTGATCTTCTCTCGATGATGAAAAAACAATGGACTATGAAATTACTAAAGAAAATGAAGAACTATGTGATCAACAATGTTTCTCTCCGAATTCTTCCCCCTCAAGTGTCTACTACTCTTTGTTTTGGTCTCAACTCTTGCCACCCCTCCACCTTGGTCATCATCATCATTGAATCCAATAGATTGGTGGGACCTTCTCTCATCATTGTTCTTGTTCTTCTTAGTTGAGTTCTTGAGATCTTGAAAGAGGGTTTCCTACTTGGGTTTCCCATTCAACTCCAACAAACAATGGGACAAAGTTAATGGCCTCATCCCAAATTCTTGGTACAACATGCGGACAATCCCATCTCGCAAGCAGACATCACAGGACAACATAATGCAAGAAATGAAGCAAGCAAGAAAAATGAACAAACAAAACTTACATATCTTTGGACTCCAATGGCATAACTCTATGCACACACTCATTTCAAACACAAATTTAAACTAGCTCATTGCACAAACAGATCAACGGTACAACATTAACATCATACATAATACAATTAAACAATCCACTACTCACTACATTAACACTACATCAACATCGAAGTGGGGGAGGGGAACAATCACCCCATTTTTATTTAGTTTGCACTCTTCTAGAGAAAAGTAAGCTAGAGAAGAGAACTTTTGAAGGTGAAACACTAATTTTTGAGAGATTACTAGATTAGTTGGTTTGAGGATCTGCTAGCTATTCTTTTTTTGCGTAAAGGACCCTAGAACTACATTAGGGAAGTCCAATGATACAACATACCCAAATCAATCAAAGAAATTACATCCAGATCCTTGGGGTGCCAGCCCTCTGTTTTCTTTTGAAACTTTATATCTTTTACTAACACACTGTTACTCATTATGAACTACATGCCATTCGACAGCATCACACTTATCACACGCTAATTTGACCGAAGTTTTAAGCATTCCCCACTCTGTCTTTATATATCTCTAAACCGTATGCACCTTTTCTATGTTGCTTCCATTGGTCATCGGGTTATGACTATAGAATCATTACTAAACATTTCATGTGTTCTCTTGCCGATGAGTTGAGATTTTAGAAGAAACTGGAATAAATTGTGGACAAAGTCCGGAGCGGCGGCGCGTATGTGCCTGCTAAGAAACCATGAAAATTTGATAGGAAAGTGTGTTGCTGCAGGCCAAACATCATGAACCTGATTCTCTGACAGACTTTTTGCCCCATTGAGAACAATGCAATCTCTGTTAACTCTGCAAGTCTGGTGCATGATCAGCATATAATCATAGTTTACAGTTTAGACGCGAACTGCAATTCTAGGAAGGCATGCAAATATAGATGATCAAGACGGTATGAAACATACGAGAAGTTTATATTGTAATCACAGTATGGTACATACGAGAAATGAACCGAGGGAAGTGATTGTTCTTCACATTCAGATAGTCTAACTAGTACCTCTGCTGATTTACAGAGTTTATTTGCATAATACTTTGACTTAGGAAAACCAGATACCGATCCATTTGAGCTTAATGCCCGCATCAACAACGTATGATGAATTCCTTCATGCATTTATTCCATTATTATGGTTATGCTAGTTAACTCCTCATGAGCTAGACACCATTCAGCAGCATCACACCTTCTGAGCTGCTAAGTTGACTAAAGTTTTGACTATTCATTATTGTTCGCTCTACCTCTATATGTTTCTTCTAAACTCTCACGTCACTAGCAAAGACATACTCCCTCCGTCCCATAATATAAGAGCGTTAATATGAGAGCGTTTTTGGTGCTCAAAGTGTGTTGGATGAATGAAGCCATACTTTTTTTTTTTGCTCAAAGCAGTTAGTATGAAGATACAACTTTTGTGCTCACTCACATTTCACATGGTAAAGCTTGCGCTTGCTCCATTTTGCTTTTACAGATTATGAATCAATAATTCTGTGTAATTACAATTCCCAAATGCGTTTGTGATTACCAAACCCTGCCCAGCAGCCTTTGCAAGTTTATCTACTCTTTGTTTTGCAAGTTGTCTTGCCGTATCAGCACTTGTCAATACAGAAATCAAGGTAAATAGTGATCAGACACGCAAACAGCAGAGATGTAAAGTTTTAAAAGAAAAGCAAAGTGCAATTTCCAGAAAGACAGATAGACAACAATAGACGATCAAGACAAGCCATCCCTGATACGTACAATCTACTCCCTCCGTTCCAAAATAAGTGTCTTAACTTTAGTACAAAGTTGGAGACACTTATTTTGGTACAAAGTTGTACTAGAGTTAAAACACTTATTTTGGGACGGAGGGAGTACAAGTTTGCATGGTAATCACAGAATGATATATACAAAAGAAAAGAACTGGACTAATTTAACTCATAACTGCAAAGGAACAACAAAGGGGCACACAGAACATCTCTCTCGCAGACCAATCAAACTTCAATAATAACATCAGCCGATCGATGATCATAAAACAATAATACAGAAAAGAACCAAGACGGGGAATGTGTACGTTACAAAGGAAACTAGGTTCTTCTACTTTAACATCCGTGTCCGTGGGTGTTTCCATCTTCCAAGATTTTCGCCGCCGCTAATTTACAACCATGAAAACTCCCCAACTCTTCCAGAAAGCGGTTTGAAGATCATATACATCGCTAACCAAACTATCACTCAGGAACAAATATGATGTTGAATTTGTCAGGCTTTGCTTACAGAGCAAACCGAAAATTAACTTGAGAGCTGGAATCTTCCTGTCGGTTTCCTCTTTCGCCATCCCTGGACAAAGATTATGGTGATTAAAATAAGCTCAACTTTTACAGAATTTGCTGAGTAATTCAAAAAAGGACTTACAAAAAGTGCATAGTAGAAGAGGGTGAGTATGGCAAGGGCAACAAAGCCGTACTGGAAAACATTGTACCTGCATATTCAGATGTTCAATAGCAGTATGAATACAAAACTCTGGGATTATGGTGTCTACAGCAATATAGATTCAACTATTCAAGCAACCAGGTTGATAGTTCTACTGACTGCATGCTGGCTCAAGACTTACTTGTAGAGATACTTAATTCCACGAAGAGACTGCAGCGTGTGGCCAAAGATCTCCTGAGCTGCAGTTGCTTGTGCGTAGTACGCAAAAGCTGTGGCGCAGAACTGAATCACACTGCATAAAACACAAGCATGGAAATTCAATAGAGAGGACTTCTTAAAGAACATCAAATTCACGTTCATGCAGAGGCCATTATTCATCTAATGTAACAGAACATAGGCCCAAGTTAGGTTCTTGCTAAATGAATGCATTATTACTGACTGATAACAGAAACTACTGTCCTGATGCTTTCTGAAAACGACTCCTTTAGATCTGCCACATATCTCCACTACCTTTTTTAATTCTTGTAAAGTTACAGCCTTCAAACATTTCATCAGAACCTACAATAAGACATTTGACTTCTAAAAGAAGACCTTGGCAACATACCTGATGGAACAGAGTAGGATCAGTCCTACATTAAACAGGAACGAATTCATCAAAGTTCCTCCCCATCTGAAACAAGTTAAATGGTTGTTAGTAAATGTAAAAAAAAAAAGGACACTGCAAAGGAAAGAGTGTCATGGAACAGTCAACTACTTCATTGGGTGAATGGTGATGAAAACTAATTTCAGGCCAAGCATCATTTCCCCAGCAATCACTGCGATGAGGAGATAGAAGCAGAAGAATGCAAAAGCAGCAGTCCCAAGCAGACCTGGTACAAAAAACAAATGATTAACCGGTTTATTCTCATAAAGAGGATAACTGGATGAGTTCAGAACAATATCAAGGATCAGAAATGTACCCCAAACACTGTCCAGCTTTATGAAGATCTCATTCAGGAAAGAAGATAGAGGAGGATCAACCAACAAGTATATGATAATATGTGCAACCCAAGCAATCGATACAATTAACCTAAGAACATAAATCATTGTCAGACGAACCAAACTGCAAATACGTTAGACTGAATGAATGTACAGTTCAGATACATATTTACACTTACCCAACAATGCCGAATATGAGTTTCCCAATGTAAGCAAGCACTGTAAAAGCCCAGGTAGCCTCTGCCTGCACCATAATGGATGTCAAGACAAGAGTAAGTGACAACCATAAAAAACAATGAATATAAGAATTCACGAGTAGTTACCTTCTCTCCTTGAGGGTACATCTCTTCTAGAGCATTCATGTCATTTTCCAAAAGTAACAACTCCTAATGATTACGATGGGAAGTTAAACATGATATTAGTTAATAGCATAACAGAACATCACAGAAAGATGTACAATATATTAAAGAGAATGGTTCATACGAATACAACTAAAGCTTCAAAGCATATCATCCATTTGAAGGGCAAGCATACCTTCTCGACAGCCTTCACGTTTTTGCGCCATTTTCTGCCTTTGTTCCCACTTCTCTCTTCTTGGTGAAGGGCTTCCGCTGCCTTCTTCAATTCCTTGGCCTTCTTACCTAATTCAGTAGCTTCCTGAAGGAAACATTTTCAACCTCAAGGTCAGATCGATATCTAAATCAAACAATAATTACATGAAACAGAAACTTTCTCTGTAATCAGTTGAGGCAAACAGTCTTCAGAACTAAAATAAAGCATATGAGACTATACAGTATACACACCTTTATATACTGTGAGCGTGTGATGACAGCCTTTGGACGCCGGACAAACGAGAATATAAGACTCAATGGAAGGCAAGCAATGCCAACACCACCAAATATCTATAAAATAAACAGAGTTGTTAACATATGCCAAGCCAGAACTGTACAGAAAGAGGCCAGCATGATTGCATGCAGCAGTTAAACAATTGGAGAAAAGTACAGCTTTGTCCAAGAAACAAACAAAAGTACAAACTAACCTATCAGATGCTAGCTCTACAAAAAACAGTGATCAACCTAATTGTAAACATTGAAGTAAAACTCACTGTGAAGAGCACAGATCCAACAATGGTAGCAAGGGCAACCACGTATTCGGGGAATGTAGCGCGCATTGTCCAAGTTGTTTGGGAGTTAGGAGGTGCAGTATTAGCTGAACACTGAAGAAAGAAACCATAAAACAAGTCAGTCGCCAGATGAAAAATATGAAATGATGAGCTGGATGAAGTGAAACACAGGAAAGCATAATTCCATCAGCGGGTTAACCTGGCGGGTCAATGGGGCGATGCAAGGTTGGCCACTTGTGAATGCACTGAACTGGTTTGGGTTTGGAAATGCCTGGACAGATGAAGAGAGGTGCCTGACAGTGAAGTCCACTTTACCAATAAGTGCTGAAGGAACAAAGTGGAAGTGCAGTCAGGTAAAGTCAAGACATCACGGATTAGTAAGAAGTTAACATCACGAGAGGTATAAAGTGAAACATCACGCATTGTAAGAAGTTCACATCAATGGAGGTACAATTCATCCCATGCAGGTACAAGCATGAAGGGTCTATGTGATGTGACCAAGAAACATGGAGATGTGCCAAATGAGCAGGACAAAATGAAATGCTGTTGTCTACGTTCCCTAGGTGGTTGAAACTAAGAGGTCCAAACGTATAAGCTGCAACCTAGGACAAGAAAACAAGTGGGTGCAGTAGAAAATTCAGGAGTCTAAATGGGTAAAAGATAGATACACACAGCAAGGATGAACCAGGAATGAAGCCTGGCCAGTAGTAACATGAAGTAAGTTCTATGTGATGTGATGAAGAAACATGGACACTGCCCACCATTGCGAAAATGACATGGACAAAATGATGTGTAGTTCTCTATGTTTCCTACGGTGAATACTAAACAGTCTAAAATGTAAAGCCTACTGCCTAGTACAACAAAACAAGATGTGAAAAACACAATTCAGAGGTCCAATGGGCACTGGACATACACAGGTAGGTCTCTATGTTTCCTACGGTGAATAGTAAACAGTGAAAATGTAAAGCCTACTGCCTGGTACAACAAAACAAGCTGTGAAAAACACAATTCAGAGGTCCAATGGGCACTGGACATACACAGGTAGGTCTCTATGTTTCCTACGGTGAATAGTAAACAGTGAAAATGTAAAGCCTACTGCCTGGTACAACAAAACAAGCTGTGAAAACCACAATTCAGAGGTACAATGGGCAATAGACAAACACAGGTAGGATTAACCAGTCCAGATGTATAAGCTGCAACCTAGGACAGCAAAACAAGTGGTGAGAGTAGACAATTCAGAGGTCTAAGAACGGGCACCACTAGATACGCAGAGGAAGGATGAATCGACTAATGAAAACAGTAGCAATTTCAGATCTGGCTATACAGCATTGACTGCTCATGGATGAAAAACGTGAAAGCTTTGAAGCTCGAGGCTCCTCCAATTTACAAGAGCAACACCTCGAGATTCAGGTGAGCAGGGCCACATTTGAAGCTCAAATCGTTCAAACTCTCTCGAAGAAGATTAAGGGTGAGCAGAGCAGAGCAAAACAAATGGGTTCAGGCAGACAAAAGTCAAGGGCGATCCGCACCGTATAGGATGCCGAGGACGAGGCCGCAGACGACGGCGGAGGCGACGACCCAGATGAGGGCGCTCTTGAGCCTCTTCCCGACGGACCTGGACGCAGGCGGATCTATCCAGTCAGCGAAGCAAGCCGAGCGCGGAAGGAAGGAAGGAAGGAAGAAGAGGAATCGAAAATTACTTGTCCTGGTCGCCCTCGTAGTAGAACATGGCGAAGGGGATGACGAGGAAGACGAGGACGGCGTCGGCGATGTAGACGACGAGCCAGAGCGTCTTCATGGGGAGGGTGAGGGCGCAGGCGCCGCTGTAGACGGCCCGCCTGCAGGCCTGGCGGTTGGCGACGTCGGCGGGGAGCATGAGGATGGAGAGGACGGCGACGGTGATGCCGAGCACGACGACGAGCTTGGGGAACCAGGCCTGGTTGGCGTCGTCGGGGTGCTGGTAGTTGACGAGCAGGTAGACGCTGACGAGCAGGACGAGGACGCTGACCACCGCCGCCACGATCACCAGCGCC